CATATTTTTCTTAACATATGTTATTTGGATTTATTTGTACTCAGCCAGCAACATATAATCAACACTACCATTGTTACTTGATTACTTTAGACAGTCTATGATTGGCTAGTGTTTTTTGTTAATATCTCATTAACAAAGTTTTAACAAAAATCTATGCAAAATATTATTTAAAATTATCTTGAGAATTTTCAATTATTTATATCGATTTTTCCATATTTTTAGAATACTTTATATAAATATAAAGCAAATAGTAATGAAGAATAAAGATAAAGTAAGAATTGATTATTACTGATATCTTTTGAATACTAAAAGTAATTTTTTAAAAAATCATTTTTAAAAACACCCAATAGATAGTGTTAATTATATAATTATATAGATAATGTTTAATTTTTATTTTATCTTATCCTATGTCTGAAAAATGATGGCATAAATGATTAATTCTTATCTTATTTTTATTCTGCTGTTACTATTTGCTCTCCTTATATGTATTATTTTCATCTACAACATTTTGGAGATGTTTTAATTTTTATTTTATTTCTGTTTTTCTTTCATTATTTATTTTACTCAATCATAAATGTAATACAGAAAATCAATTTATTAAACATTGTTTAATAATTTTTTTTAAAGAAAAATTATTATGTTTAATTTTTAATGGAAAATACAGATTTCTTAGTTTATGTACTATGTTTGTAATGTAACATTTAAATATATTTTCTCTATTATAGTTATTTCATTCCTTTGTAAATCAATAATGTTACAATATGACATTGTAGTCAAGATAATAAAATATTTTCGTGTTATTTATTATTGTTTTTATTTCTTTTAGTAGTCCCTAGAGGACAGCGAAAATTTTCTATTCATATTTTACTATAATATTCGTACACATAGGTTTTAAGTGAACAATCGTTTAACTTTCTCGGTTATTGCTTGATTCTCGGCAGTAAGCAAAATGGCGCCGTTGTGGATGGTGATGTCGTTAGCGGTTTCTTTACTTTTGACACCTTTTCTTATGTTTTTACTGGCCATAATCTTTTTGGCATCTATCGGAAAATCACTTGGGGTTAGAAGATTATATATAAAATTGCTGCTAACACTTTTTGAGGTAAGAAAATCGTAAAGCAAATTTACATACTTATCTATTCATTTAAAGACACGTTATGAATTTATGAATTGAAAACAGGATTAAATTATATGATTTTATTTTGAAAAAAAAAATAAAAAAGATTTTATGATTTTATCATGTGCAGTTTACAATAAGATTTTTTAGAGCAAAACATATTCCAAATATAAAAAATATTATTTTGTTAGTGTATAAATTTGAAGGTAAAGTTAAATTTGAGGTAGACATTTTGAATTTTATTCATTTGTATGTATTCGATTTAATTTATATTACTGTATTATAATTTGTTTAATTTTTAAAATTTTTTTTAGAAATTTTATTATTTTAATATGCTAATTCTTGATTAATGAAAGATATAATTACTATTAAAATAAGTACATTTCATTTAAAAATATTTATTGAATAATCAACAAGTAGCTGTAATAAGTGGCATTTAATATGAAATATTTTTAAAACTTTTACATTTTATTTTGATATATGTTCGATTTAAATTTCACACTCTTATATAAGATACGT